GCGTACGGCTTTGCTATTGACCCTAAATGACCAAAAAAGATTGGAAATTTGTGAATACAGTGTCAGGGACCTAAAACATTTAAAAAAACAATATTTTTAACTTCTGTACGTGACGCGCGCGTAAAAATGCGTACGCGGTGCCGAAAATTTTAAAAATGTTGAAATGCTCAAAATGGCTTAAAACGCGCTCTAATTTAGTCAAAAATTGATTTCGATTATTTTAAAATTTTGACGCACGCGTACGCGGGCGTTATGAAGCGCATGCGCAAAATGAGTGTACATTACAATCAACATTCACTCGAAGTTAATGCTCACGTAATATGATTTCGAAATGTCAATTGGTTAGGCTGATATAATCAATTGCGTAAAAAACACAAAAATGCGCGTAGATGACGTCACACGTTTCTGGTAACCTTGCAAAGCTTATTGTCACTATTCCAGGCCAAGCCAAATTTTTTGTTGTAGTCTTTTTGTGCGTAGCTCTCGGCAAATTTGAGATATCGTGCGAACAGTTATTTGTCAGAATGTAGAATAAAAAAAAAAGATCTCTGACAATAACAAGAGGTGATCCGCACTAGATGCGGATCACCAATTATGATGATAATATTAATTCAAGATTAATTCATTAGGTCCATCATGCAAACATTCTTTGGATGAACACATTGCCAAGAAGTTCATTTCAAATATTGATTAATTACTAGTTAATCACCCGTCGGCCATCCACCCGTCCAGATATGTTACTGTAGGTCATCTTCTTTCTTGGGTCCTGGCTCCAAAGTGGTCATCTAATCAATTTGAAAAGTTTAGTTGCCAAAATATCTATTGTCGTCACAGAATTAGAAGGTGGAGTTCCTGTACAATATCCAATAGAATCATCAAGGTCCAATACTTTCAAAAGTTCTTGGAGATTCTAGCAATTATTAAGTGACATCGCCATAAGCTTGGCCACAGGTTTTAACATCGAATTCTCATAGACAATTACCAAATTTGTTGACCTTCACAGTCCAGTCAAAAGAGCAGATCCAAGCCTACTGTATCCTGTGGTTCGTTATTTGATCAATCATGCATTTCTAATGATACATTTACATGGATAGAAAGTATGTGTGTGAATGCAATGAATCTTGGTTGGAATATCTTGGGAGATATCCGTGTAACAATTTGTTACATTTTTGTTGTACGTGTGAATTGATTAGAAAGTTTTCAGGTTTTCAACTATGAGATCCTTTATTAAATACTTCTTGTTTTGACAACAGGATTTGGCTTTGGATTGACATTTCCAGACAGAGAGCATCACTATGGCGAAGTTCCTGACAGGGCCAGCTCTTCAAGCTGTTATAGATGAATGCGCTGAACGCCTTCTGGAGGACCCGGAGCTAAAATCAGCAATGGAGGAACTAGACAAGGGTATTTCTAAATTATTAGCAGGTATGTTAAATGTTATTATGTGCTACATGATAATAGAAAGTTTTTCCCATTACCCAAGGCTACTTTTTTTTAATTTCTAATTTTCATGGACAATCAACCCATTACTATTTGTGTGCAGAGAGCTTACCCATCCAGTATCGTTATCACCCCCACTCCCTAAACATAAAATATGCTCTACCTTGAAACTATTTATTTTGTAATTGAATAGATCTTTTAAAAGATGTGACGTGCACCAAGCAGGGGGTGGGTGTGATGTGTTGTAGATTTTTGTTTTAAAAAAATGCTTGACCATAGAATAAAAAAATAAAAATTAGCTTGTTTTGGATTACCATGCTCCCCTCTTTCTTCTTTTCTTTTCTCTTTTTTAGATTTTTTTGGGCAGGGACCTTAAATTGTTCACAAAATAATTTTTTGGCATTGTTTAAGATGAGGCTTGTAAGCACTAGTATAGTGCATCAGAATTACTATTTAAGGTGCTGAAAATATTAGATTTACCTCTCATTTAAACAGATATTAAAGAAGCTGAAAGAGATGAGCTAAGAATTATTGAAGAGTAAGTACAAACTTTGCCTTTGTCTGTACTATACTTCATACTATACTTAAATACTTAAAATTCTTTCATTTATTTATAGATTTTTTAATGAAAAAGACATGAACTACAATACATACAATTATTTAAAAATATCATAAAAACATCAAGAGTTGACATAAAAATGCTATTAAGAAAATTATATTATAATACCTACCAAAAATAATTGTCTAATGAAAGTACATCTTTTAACACAATAGCCTACCCCTATTTAAGGGACACCCCTATTAAGGGAACACTTTGTTTGGTCCCAAAAGCATCCCCTTATTATTTTTTTGCTTGTTTATATAACGCATTTTAGTTCTTACTATTAAATTCTTTTTTAAACCTTTGTATTGTTTCTAGTTTGTTGTGAAAGAGAATGAATGAAAAAGGAGGTTGTACTCATCATTGATTTATCATTGTTGAAAAAAAAAAAGTGTACACTAATGAGAGTACTTATACCATCTTGGCTTCATACCTTAATTGGTAGAGCATTCATACAATAATTAAGGGATCCTGGGTTTGATACATAAATCGTCTTTATATCTCTTTGCCATTTTTTTCTAGATCCAGAGCCATGTCTAATAACACCCAGGCTTGCCAAAGTGTTGCTAGTACGAATGACAGATTAAGTAGTCCACAAAATGATCCTGATGATGTCATTTTTATAGGAAAAGTTGCTGGTAACACTGTAAAAACACCTCGTAGACAAGCCCGGTAAAAAAACAACATTTCACTATATATTTTGTAAACTCACCATGTCTCTTTGGAGTGTATGTTGGTGTTAAGTAGGTTAAACGACTTCTAACCCATTTTAATTATGTAAAGATACAGTAGGTTGGCGTAGGCCTATATCATACACTCACACACACATGCTTAAGCACTACAATGCCTATTCAAAATACAATATTTTTTTTAGGTTAGTGCAACTGCACTTATCAAGAGGGATACTTATTCGAGAGAACTTCTTCTTCAAAGTCCACCAGAAGGCTAAAAACATTAAAAAGTACTGTACAGTGTTGCTAGAATTTGCAACAACTTAGATAGTAATTTTGGCCGGTCCTCTAAAGGCTTCAAGTGTGGGGGCTATAACCAAGGGTTATGGCAATGTTCCAAATTTTGATGATACTGTAAAAAAGTGCATGTTGGTACACTAGTATACTTAATCATTTACCATGTTGTTATTAGATCTATGATCTTCAGTTTGACAACTATATGTGGCTTACTTTAGTAAAGCTTCTGTTTTTGAAGTTTTAAATGCTTTGGAGTTAGCAATTTTGCTGTCCGATTTTGGATATTATATTTTTAACCAATATTGTAATAATTTATGGATTTAGATTGGATGTTATTGTTTTACTATCACTAATTTTATATAGCTAACTGAGGATGCTTCTTTTTTTAATTTTTAAAAGATGATAAAGTTCATTCGTATTCATACATTAACACTGTGGAAATCACTTTTCTTTGTTCACAGTCCTGAGCTAGTAAAAGACATGAAAGTGTTAGCGAAGAGAAAAAAAGATGACTTGTGGTATGATGCTACTATATTGGAATTATTGAGCCATCAGCTCTCACAAGTATGTAACACAGTATTCAAATTAACCAATTGGAATTAATGTTTGTATTTGTATCGTATCTTATATAGCGATCATATCTTCATCTCATATTTCAACAGGTAGATACATTTGGCAGATTGCACTACTGTATACGTGTTCTTATATTAGGTTATTATTGCTGCTATTTTTATTATCTTTAGTAATATAATTTTTTATTATTACTAATTATAATTATTATTATTATTATAGCTATTATAATTAATTTATATGTCTATTTTGTGAATGCTTAGCACCCCTTCGAAAAAGTTCGACCCGGGGCGCCACATACAAACTGTCTCCCTAACAATCTTTCTCATTCCCTATTCGATGTTGTTTGTTCAAGGAGCTCTTTTGTGCTATAGGATAAGCCTAAAGCGTTAAACCACTAGACATGAGATTGTGTTTCTTTGTCGTTTATTTTCAAGAACTTTTAGAGAGAACAACATATCATTTATTTTAGCTTGATTTGTAGTCTGTTCTTTCTCTATGGCCCCAAATCAAGTGTTGAACTCGGACACTCGGAGTGCGCTTTGCAGCAAAGCGGAGCCTTACAAAGTTTGCGCCCGCTAGCCCCTGACTAAGTTGGTGGCGGCTCTTGATTGGGCAGCTCAGGCTGCCCCTCAGTCAGGGAGTTTGTTGCCGGTTGTGTCGGATGATTCTCCTCAGCCGTTGGAGGGTCCGTCGGTCTCTCGCCCGGCGGGTCCCTCACCTCTTCTGGTCCGCTTGTATTACTATATGTTTGTTGAGGGTTGTTTACATGTATTGCTTTAAAAAAAAAACACAAGGACAAAATCATCAAACAACTAAACAACTACAAAAGTACTGAAATAACAAACGATTCAATATGGAATTAAACCATTATTTGTATCAATAATAATTATTATTTTTAAAGAAATTTATGCTTATCATTTTTTTAATTAACCCTCAAACTAGAAAGTGAAAGTGAAGTTTGATGGAAAAGGTAGCCGTGGGATCCTTTCACGTAAACATATTGCTCTGAAAAATGAACCAAGGTGGGATCAGCTCCCTGTAGGCAGCAGGATCATTGGTAAGTGGTTGCTATGGATATTGATGAATAAATGATAGATCACAGGTTCCAAAACATTAGGCATTATTCAAAATCACATTATTATTTACTTGTGAAACAAAATAGCAACATCAAAATAGCTTTGCAGTACCCGCTAGTACTTGGGGATTGGATTCAACAGTAGTCAATAAGCGCAGTCTCGGTAGTCTAGTGGTTATGGCACCAGGCTAGTTATCAGGAGGTCATGGGTTTGATTGATCATGTGACAATGTGTAGTAATAATTAAATTTAACTGTTGCTAATGTTCTTTCTCATTGTTTTTTACAGCAAAATATGAGAATGATGCTGATGTATCCATGAAGCAATGTCTGTATGCAGGAATAATTGCAGAAACACCACTGCCTTACAATAGACAGCAGTAAGTTGATCATCATACAACCCTCAAAGTATTATTTTTGTAGAATGAATTGTAATGTACTTTAAACCATAATTCTATATTGTATTATTTTTTAAAGGCTTAGGGAGTGGGGCTGTATTTGTTTGCTGTAATCCCCTTGGCTGTGGGTTTAATCCTGGCTAAAATTATCTACATAATTTTTTACAAGCACTTCCTCACAAACCCTCATAAAAATATTAAATATTATGTTTTTAAAAAAAAATCATATTTTTGTAACAGTTTTCAGCATATCATTCACAATCAATATAACATTTTTCAAAACATTTCATTTATAGGTTTTTGGTGTTCTTTGATGATGGTTTTGCTCAGTATATGGACTCTGATAAAATCTTCAATGTCTATGAAGCGAGTAAGTAACTTTTGATTTTATTTTGTGTGTGTTTGCATATAGTGCTTGTGCAAGTAGAAACTAAAATCATTATCTCATTTTTTTGTATAACAAGTAACATGCATTTCTAGAAAAAACTTTCTACTTTAATGACAGCAGACAAGAGATAAAAAATGCCTTTGACGCATTTTTTTTAGCTGGATCCTACAGTATGTATTGATGATTTATAATTTGAGATCCTAGTGGGAAAACATCCCAAATACCCTGAAAGGGAAAGATAAAATTTGAGGAGGATTATGGCCATTGCTTTATTATTCAGCCCTTTACAGTGACATACTTGTAGTCAACCTACCATCAATGAAAGTTATAAGTCAGTTACACCAGTAGTTAATGTTGTGTGCATGTACTTTACACCATCTCAAACCCACAGGGAGCACAAAGGGGCGTTTAAAAGGGATTGTGGTTAGCTGACCAAGATATTGTTCAGAGGCCGCTATAGATCTCACTCCATACTGAGTACGTTATTTTTTTGTATTATTTAGGTAGGTTTGTGTGGGAAGACGTCCACGAAGACTCCAGGGAATTTATAAAGGAATACTTGGAGAAATATCCAGAACGCCCCATGGTCCGCGTGTCTGAGGGTCAGGTTCTGAAGACAGAATGGAAGGGTAGTTGGTAAGGCACTAAACTATGTAATAACATTAATAACACTTGTATTGTAAGTGACTACTACTAAATACTACTACTCGCATTATAGTGCTGCTGCTAAGCTCCAGCCCTGTGAGCCCTAGTGGGTCAGAGAGGATTTAGTTTAGTGTATTACAGCAGACTATTTTCAGGTACTGTCATTATTTACTGGGCCTCCAAAATCTAAGTTGTATTAATACTATTCATTACTTCCTTCTAGGTGGAAAACGCGTGTGTTGAAAGTTCAGGGTAGTCTTGTGAACATGCTTTTTCTCGTTGATGATAGAACTGAATGGATCTATCGGGGATCGCCACGTCTTGAACCTCTTCACAGAGAATTGGTAGGTTTTGGCTTTTTGTGTTCAATTGCGTTCTTGGTTGTAGATGTATCTATGGAGAAGTAAATAAATTTAGCTCATAACACTGCTTTAGAAAAAAAAATGTTTAGATATTTTGGAGACATATTTATACTCATCTAATGGCAGCTGACTTGCTGATTACAGGATACCATCATTTTAAACCTTTGAGCATGGAGTTATTGTTAGCCTTAACCTTGGTATAGAAAGGGAAGATCTTAACCATCAATCAGTCCATCAGTTTATAAGGCGAATTGCATAAAACATGCACTGGTAAAAAAATTAAACAAATGTCAATGAAACAGAGAAGACTTGGAATATGGCATGACACAATGAATTGAAAACCCTATATGTGCGGCCTGCCAAGCAAAATTGGCTATAAAATACCTTGTTTTTTACGGCCCGACACCCATCATATGTAAAAAGTAGCATTAAAACTTAGAATAAAGTGGTGTAAAAGCAGTGCTTGGAGGTTTTTAGAAGCTCACTGGAAACATCAATATTTAGGTGCGGCCCATGTTGTTCAATCAAAAATTCACTTTGGTCTTTCGACCAATATATATGCCCACCCCTGGTGTAAGCATCATGTGTGTGTGTGTTTGTCTTGTGAAAGGAATTGTCACCTACAAGTAGGACAGTGATATATTTGCTATTGACAATCCTTGATGCATGTGTTGTGTGCCTAAATAAAATAATAATAATAGTCAGTGAATTTTGCCATCAATCAACCTATCAGTCTTTAAGGATGAATAATACAATATTTCCATGCACTGATAAAAAAATATAATTGGAAATGAAAGCTGATTAAACAAAGAGACCTAGAAATACGGCATGACCCAAGTGCCATCAAGTTGAGGTCAGTGTGTGTTCTTTTGCATTTAAAGTGATCTCACGGAGGTATAATTCACGGATTCAGTTCTAACCCAATTCCTTATTATTCCATGAACAATCCACCCTGAGACAAATTAAAAACAATGTTGGGATAATGTGTTGTTAAACACTGAACCTCAGCTTTTTACCAGAGTTATCTTTTGTTCTGTAGATGGCTGCTGAGGCTTCCAGGCAAGCAGGCAAAGTGATACGTGGCACAAGTCACACATTTTTGAAGCGCAATGCTCCTGTGGTTGAGTACATAAATGTGGAAACGCCGACACTAGGTAAATGTGTGTTGCTCATCATTACCTCCGCCAATGATCACTGTGTCTGTTTGTTAGCAGTATTATGCCACAACTAATGAATGGATCACCGTAAAAGTTAGTGGAGTGATTCATATTGATTTAAGGAAGAAGTGTTTAAATTTTGGTATGGAAACGTCAAAAAGCAAGGTCAAGGTCACAGAAATTCAAATATTTCATTGAAACTTACAAGCATAAATGAATATAAATGGAATTTTCCTTCTTGTCCTTAACGACCTGCATATATTATTTGGTGTTCAGACCAGGGCGGAAGTATGCACTCAATGGAATTGTTTTTGAAATCAATAATGTATTCTCTATTACAATTGTCATAAATTATAAGACTTAACCTTCTTTATAATAAACACCTTTGTAGAAGGGTAAATTTTTATAAGCTTATCTTTTCTAAAATGTTCCTTACTACTATTCACAGTAAACCCAGAAGAACGCTCTAAACAAACAGCTCGTAAGAGTTCCAAAAACCGTAAGCTGTACAGGCAAAAGTATCAGCAGGGAGAAGGAGACCAGCAAAGGAAAGAAGTAGAACCCAGTAAGCCTGTGCTTCATTCAGGGAAGCAGGGCCAGAAACGGGATCTAGGAAGCGCCAACAGCATACACGCTGGAGATGCTACCGTAGAGTGCATAATAGATTCAGGCATGTTACTTATTTTAAAATTTTATTTAGTATCTAATAGCAGGAGGAATAGCTTGCCATGTGAAGCATGGGTCCATTGAAACATGGATGTCTTGCTCATGGTGAAAACAAATGATTAGAAGCAAACTTAGAATCTGTAATGCAACCTCTGTCCAAGTTTTGTCTGAAAAATGTGTGTGAATTGCCCATATATGGGTATAATGATGTCATATCTCATCTATATATAGGCATTATGATATCATATACCCATATATGGGCAAATCATAGGTTTTTGTTACATAAAAATTTGAAAGTACGAAAAGTCTAAAATCTTAACACCATGTCTTCTATCTTACAGATCCCGAAATCGTTGATCATAAAAACAAGCCAGTGTCTAACCTGCAACCAAAGGAGGATAAAAGCGCAGCAAGCCGGTCACAACCAACGTTAGATGACAGTTCTAGTGATAATAATGTTTCTTCAAAGATATCCAAGAAGCTACCTAACTATGCCTACAGTAAGACCCTAATGCCTAAACGTTTTCTCATCTGTTTGGTTTATAATGACAACAAGGCTTTACAATGGTGGTGGTGAAACTGGTGATAGGCCTAAAAGGAAAGAAGTTACCATACTTTGCAAAAGGAAAGATTGCAGTACATAAGTGTGTTCAATTCAATTCAATTTTATTACAAATTAAAATGCATCATTTGGATGATATAAAATGGTAAATATTAAAAATTGCACATACATTAAAAAGTGATTATATAACAATACTAAAGAACAATATGTAAAAACATTGAAATTCAAAATAATAAATTACAAAAATTACAATGCACAGATCTAAAAATTCATTATGTAAAAATAGAAAAGACAAAAAAAAGAACATTGAAGTCCTGGAAAATAATTACAAAATAATGCATTGCACAAGATATAAAAACAATCAAATTCAGAATAAAAAATTACAAAAATAACATTGCACAGATCTAAAAATTGATGATATAAAAATAGAAGAGACAAAAAGGACATTGGAATTAAGAAAAATAATTACAAAAAAAGAATTTCACTAATGACAAATGTTAATAGAACAAAGGGGATTACACAAAAGAATGTTGTGTGTTCTCAAAATCTTAGTGTATAATAGCAAGGATTCATGGTAGCGGTGCAGTAGAACTGATGGTACTAAACAAAATTGAAGAAGCGATTTGCTTATATAGTAACATTCTTTTCCCATTATACCACAGTCCACTGCTATGGGCATATTACATAGTGGATTGTATTCACAACAAGAATTATATCTGACACATCCACAAAACCCTAGCTTGTTTTCTTACAAATTTTAACCAACTAATATATGCTACTTAAAATGCTCAAAATGATTTTGTTTTCTCTAGAAACTCATGTGTGCTGTTACTTGTGTGTAGTGCAGGTCGTAGGTCAAGTAGTTGATCTTAAAGATGAAAACCCTCTACGCTGGCCGCAAATTGTTGGCTGGCAGAGGGAACTCTCTGGTAAGCGTGGAAGTGGAAAGAAGACAGTTTTTTATCGTACACCGTGCATGAAACGTCTGGTAAGGTTTAATCTTTTAATCATATTGTTGATTATTTATGATGAAATCACAATATGTATGATTGAATATTAATAGGTATGATTTGCATTATGAAAAATAGCTATCTAAATGTATATTTTGTCAATCAAGTCGAAATATACTATTAGAAGCAATGCTTTGGATTGATGGCTTAGGATAACACATCATGGCATGGTCAAGGGACAAAATGCATCCAAATCAATTCAATACAATTTATTGTCCAAAAGTGGAAACGCATTGCGGAAACAATTCATTGCATATTAAAATATTAAAATTGTACATACAGTAATAAAAATATGAATATAAAAATATAAAGTAGTGTTCAAAATACTGTACATTAAAATATGAAAAAAATTGAGTTTGAAGTAATGAAAATGGTTTAAGTAAATTATTGCAACTATTTACTTCAAGTAACTTAATAAATCCACTGAGTTCTCAGTAAACATGAATAATACTCAAAATAAACATACCTTTGAAGCCTAGATGTATATAAATTTTAATATAGAGCTTATATTTGTTTTAATGTTTCTTTTCAGAGAAATCTTGATGAAGTTAATACGTACTGTAAGTCATACAATAAAATCTCTACATCTCACTAAATTATTTTACTTTTTTGGCGTTGTGTCTATTGTATTCCTCTAACTCAATATTATATATTATATATGTACATAAATAAAAGTTGTTTTTAATTGATTGATTGAATCATATTTTTATTTAATTTAATGAATGTCTATCATGTATGTCACAAACTCTGTCATACAATTTAGGAAGCTGTTAAAATTCTAATGTTTTCATTTATGATAAAATATTTATTTAATTAACAATGTGGGCCCTCAACTTAATGTATAGTTGGCCACATTTTGTTAACAAATTTGAAATCATCATTAAATCATAATGTGTAACAACCTTAAATTTTCTTTCATTTTGCTTTATCTCTCCCAGTAATGCAGACATGTATAGATTATCTGTTCATTGACAACTTCACATTTGATCCATTCGTCTACACCATTCCAAGAAGTGCAGGACGCTCAAGTTTGTGGTGTAAAGAAGCAAAGGTGGTTATCAAGGATATATCCAACGGAAAGGAGATGGTTCCAGTAATGCTGGTAAATGAAATCGACAACGAACGACCTGATAAAAGTTACAACTACATTACGTACAGGAAGTGTAACAAAGCCGTCATAAACACCGATACTAACTTCTTGGTCTGTTGTGACTGCACCGACAACTGTAAGGTACAGTAACTATGATTTGGTTTTTTTTATTTGATCCAAATTTGACAATTTCAATTAGGCAATCTAGTAATGGTAATTACATCTTCGCATTTCACATTTCATTCAACAGAATCTATATATATTTTTTTTGTTTCATTTGGTTTTATTTCCTTTCAAATAATCCAAGTATAACCCATGAAAATTAGGAGACTTACTTACAGTGGAGCTCTTCTGGTGCTGAATTGGGCAACACATGTAGAGAACATCCCGTGCCCCTGCAAAAAATCATTCCAAGACTGCTCTATATTGCTTGTGGAAGCGGATTTGGATGGTGGAAATTATTTGATTTCCCAAACTCGACATTGTGGTTTCAATCCTTTGCTGTGCATTTTACTTGTGTCCTTGAGCAAGGCACTGTGTCTACATTGCTTCAGCCTAACCAGCTGTATCAATGGGTACCAACAAAAAATGCTAGGAATAAACTGCAGTGAACTAGGGTCCCACCCAGGGGGGAGCATCGGACTGTCATCTGCTTCACGCTACCTCAAACTGGCGATACGCTCCAGCCCTATGAGCCTTGTGGCTTGCCAAGGATTTATGTTTTTTTTTTACATTTCTTTGCCTTTCTTGGATTCCCCATCTCTGATTTGCTTTCTTGTGATTAATAGCAACATTTAACCTTGCTCTCCTTTAGAATGATAAACTACTTGTTCCTCTACTTTCAGGATAAATCTAAATGTGCTTGTCAGCAGTTAACAATTGAATCTACACGTGCATCTCATGATGGTAAAGTTGACCCAAATGCCGGGTACCATTACAGACGTCTGGAGGAACAGCTTCCTACTGGGTAAGAATACAGCATATTTACTTCCTTTAATGCTTCATTGTTGAAAAATTAGATGTACAGTAGAAAGTAAACATTTTAATAGAAGCAAGTACCTGAACAAGAAGATGTAAATATTGTATAAGTTGTAAAGTGTTCTGTGTTCTTAGAAAGAAATTATTTTATAGCCTTATTATTTTAGATTAAACAGTAGACTTCAAGTAGACTTGACTATAGATCTTCTGCTAACCGCTCCCCCTTGAATGTTGTTGCTAAAGTCCTGCAAAACGACAGCGTAACGTATATTTGTGGGATACGCGCGTGTCTTTTCCTGTTCTGATTGGTGATTGTTAAGTTTGATTGAAACTCTGTAAAGGTTCCTTAGAGAATGAAGCAATGTGATTCTCTCAATTTGTCTCGGAATTGGAGTTCCGTTTATCCATGAAAAACTAAACTATTTCAGAAGACTTCTACCCAAGCAAGCATCTCTTAATGGACCTTTCAGGAGTGTCAACCTTAACAACTGACACATCAGAACGGTACGCGCTTGTGTAACAAACACATCTGTTGTCCCACAAACGCATGCGTGCGTGTGTGGGTGTACAACGCTATCTTTTTGTGGGACCTTAGCAACAGTATCCAGGGGGCGGGGCTTAGCAGAAAGGGCAATTTCCAGCTACAGCTCTCATCCTATTTTACAGAATATTTGAATGCAACTCAAAGTGTGGGTGTGCTAAGAGTTGTTACAACCGAGTCGCTCAAAATGGCTTACGTGTCCGTCTACAGGTGTTCAAAACGGAAAAGAGGTAAATGGCACTTGTCAATCAAACAGTCAACATTACAAAGTAAAGGGAAAAATGCTTGTGTACACTTTAGAAGTGTTCAAATTTGACCAAAAATGATTCTCCATTCTACACAATTGATAACAAAAATTATAGCAAAAGCAAAGTTTCTTCCACTACTGTACTACATAACTATTGTTATTATTAATTTGTGATGTGCATAAAAGCATTTACATTACAAGATATATATATATATATATATTCAGCTTCAGCTTGACAAAGGTTGATAACCGAAAACGTTTGCTCACTATTAAATAAATATATACCTGGCAACTTATTACTTTCTCTCCGGAGTTTTTTGTTTTATTTATTTTATATATATATATATATATATATATATATGCTCTAATTTTATCATTCTCTTTATTATTGTTATTTTTGTTTGTGCAGGGGCTGGGGTCTACGATGCATTGATGACATCCCTGCCGGTATGTTTATTTGCACATACGCCGGAAACTTATGGACGGAGGAAGAAGCAGATGACGTTGGTCGCAAGTTTGGTGATGAGTACTTTGCTGAATTGGATTATATTGGTAAACTTTTCAAAATATTATTGATTAAATTCAAGATTACTGTCTTTTGGATGAATTATTTTATTGCTGCGAAGCAGCCAATTCATATTCTTGACAGCAATTTGACCTCTGAAAGGTCATTGTTTGTCAAAAAACAAGGGCCTAAGACGACTGAAAAGCGGAGTTTCCTTCTTTCGTTCTGCCGGGTAAAATCAATTACTTTAGGCGACGTTTGTAGACTAACCAACACATACCAACGTCTGCATGTCACGCTAGCCTTATCCTACTCTAGGCCTAGACTAGCTAGGATGGTAAAGGCCTAGCCTTGAAGGGACGAAGGTCCCAATGAAAAACAATGTTGCTCCTTGATAGCTAACATCGTCTATTTAACATCACAATAATTCATTATTAGACCTATAGTTGCTTTTTGAATTGTACTCCACAAATCTCAGCCGAGTAACGTCTCGCATCTATTGTTGTGACGTCATGGCTCGCTGGTTCACACTTGCGATGTCTCGCACTTGTGATCAAATAACACGCTGGCTCGCACTTTGGCAACACTCTTTGGCAGTCAACTCGCCCCTAGAAAACCCGCCCTTGGAAACTTGCCCCATAAAAAAATGTACATCACTTCCTAGACCATGCAGTCTTCAAAATAAAAATTGTAACCTTTGGTAATCAACTACATTTTCCACATACATAGAAATTTTTGAAACTTTATTAAAAAAAACCTAAACCATAATTCACCACTATAGTCACTTTTTGACAAAAATGAAAAATTACGACTTACCCAATGAGAAGTGTTCTAATATAGACAATGGGACTGTCTCATATTATTTGTTATATTTTTATTATTAATTATTTTCACTTGACTCGCATAAATAATTTTGTTCGAAGAACATTTATATGCAGTTGTACTTTGCAGCACTTCACTTGCAATTTGCAATTTCTAGTATTATGGTGAAATACTTGACGTGTTCATTGGTGCAGTGATTGGTTAATTTAAAGATTACTATCCATTGTTCCTTTTAGTGAAAATTCTGTAAGTTGAAAATTTACTATTAAAGTGAAGATTTCTGTGTTTAAATTGAATTGTTAAAGGTTTGTAGAGTTGCCATACACAGTACATTTCTTTAAACTTAAACAGATCAATTAAAGAACTCAAATTACCAGGTCAAATTTAACAGGTCATAAACTTAAGGATCATGAACAAACATTGAATACAACTTTTATTAGACATTATTGATTAGGGTCAGAAATATATTATTATTGAAATAATAAATTGATATAATATTATGTTAATATGTATACAAGCCAGTTTTTTTTATGTTTACAGAGGTTGTAGAGAAAAACAAGGAAGGTTATGAAAGTGATGTCCAGAGTTCTGAAGGCTACGAAACAGAATCTTCTGAATCAAGGTAAGTCCAGGCTTGTTAGTTACCTGTCAATCAAAATTCATTAACTGGCTGGTTGTTCAGTCTACCTGTCAATCAATCAGTCAATTAATAAATTTTTGGCTCTCATTCTTTATGTATGTGAAATTCTCATATAGTAATGATCACAAAACTATGGATTAGTTAACCTGGTCAGTGGATATGTAGACACACAATGGTTAGTTAACCTGGTCAATGGGTACATAGACACACTATGGATTAGTTAACCTGGTCAGTAGATACATAGACACATTATGGATTACTTAACCTGGTCAGTGGATACATAGACACATTTGGAAATATAGACACAGTCATGTTTTTGTCCATCAGGAGTAAACTGCATCTTCAATTCCAATTTGATTCAGAAACTCCCAGAAGCAGAAATGGAGAAGTAAATGTTCAATTGACTTATTATACACAAACATGAAGGAGCTATAAAAAACAAAATGTGAAGGAAAAGGAAAATGATGGTATATTATTAAAATTATTATTATTATTTTGTGTTCAATTACAGTTGCAATTCAGATGCAGATTTCCAAGTGTATGACAGTGCTGGCTCCTCCCCCTATCGTACCCCCAGTGCTGATGAGATCAGTCTTGATGAAGGCTATGCAGCAACACAGTAAGTTCCAAAAGATGCTATTTGCTCCAAGGAGAGTTTAAATTTTAAAATGTTTAACAATTACACCATTACTCTTGAAAAGACTTGTCGGATGACAGTCGAAAATTTCAGTAAGTAATTTTCAGTTTGTGTTGTGAGACCGGTTATTAAAACTTGTTTTTTTTTTTCTTGTATTATCCTTGTAGCACAAAAAGTGGGACAAAAATTGTTTTGCGACGCAAATCTGCAAGTAATGGAACACAGTCCACAAAAGAATCATGGTACGAATGGACATTACATTTATACAGTAGTAGTTAAGGAAGATTGGTGTAAAGCACTATGCAAATTAATTATTAAAAAATGTTGTTTTGCCATTACAACTAAAAAATCAGAATTTTTAGTTGGTCAGTCAGATTTTTGCAGAGAGACTTTGGAAAAATCATTGTTGTCATTTAATAAATCAGATTTATGCAGAGAAACGAGAAAAAACCTGACCCATTTTTGGGGAATTTTACAGGCAATTGCGGAGAGCAACACAACAATTTTTTAGGTATAATTTTATATTCATTGTCTTCACTATCATTTGCTAGTGATATTAAATGTAATTTTCTAACTTAATTATTTTTCTTAGGTCTGTTGTGGAGTCACCAGGGAAAATTCTTCAGAGGGCAACCAGTCTACCATGTTCTACAGACCAGCCTGAAGATTCAGCAAAACAAAACCCCAAAAATTTGGCAAAATCATCGATTGAAAGCGATTGTATTATTATAATCTCCTCAGATGAGGAAGATGTTGTCCCACCTGCTGCTAATGAGAAGGTTGTCGTAGGGGATGTGAAGACTACCACTTGTGATGACAAGAATGATACTAAAGATGTTGTAAAGATTGAGAATGTGTCTAAGGAGGATGTGAAAGTTGCCAAGGAGATTGATAAAGTCAAGGATAAAGGTCATGTTTCCGAGGAGGATAAACCTGGCACAACTACCAGTAACAAGGATCTCAAAATGGAGACAGACCTGTCGTCGGATGCTGACCATAGTGTTGACATGAACACAAGCCGGTTGTCTAACCTAGATTCTGATGATCAACAGAATCTTGAGAATGCTTTGACTGCCATGTTTACAGGCCACACAGATGATGAGGGAGAGGCTTTGGTGATTCCAAAGGAGAAGCTAGATAAAATAAGATTCATAAGGGAAAGTTCTCCAGGTAAAGGGAATTTTTTTTTATGTGTCATTCCCACTACTACTCAGCTTGTATTCTACTCCCTTCTAAATGTTTGTTGACGTAAAGGTCTCTTTTCTTAATATTTCTGACACAACCAACATCAATCAATTTCATCAGGTGTACTGGTAAAATCCGGGGATTCTGGAAAACTCCATATAAATCAAATTCGCATTTAAAACTGACATTGAGACAGGTTGTACCTAAAAAAATAAAATATTGCAATTACATTATTTGCATGTCTGTTAGTTGACAAATGAGAATATATTATTGTCCTTATAGTTGTGATAACATAATAATATCAATAAATTTATTTATTTTATTATTTTATTTGGTTATTTATATAGTATTACAGTAGAAGCTCATTTTTACGTACCTCAGTTATACGAACCCTCAGTTTTACGATGACGTCATCTAAAACCCCCAAAAACACTCAAGACAATCCGCACTTTTCAAGGCCACCATAATGTAAAAAGAGATTTGTTTGTTTCTGTCTGTTTATTTTATTTCAATACCGTAACAATAAACCAACCATACTGTATGCAAAGAATTTGCATTCAACAGCGAAGTTGATTTGTGTCTAATAAACGCGCTGTTATAATCTAAAAACACATGGACTGAGCAAGATTAAACAACTTACCCGGTGCACAAAATAATTTCTTTCCTACTAAGCTTTGTGTGAAAAACTTGTCTGATCGAATTTTCTATATAAAGTTTACTAAGCTTGGTAGGCATAATTTTGCACACTTAGTTTGTCTCAGCACGCCCAGACAAAACCCAGCTTTATTGTTTAAAATAGCCAGAAAGGGGAATTCCCAAGATACCTTTGTCACATAGGCTATAACATTGCAACAACTCCCTGGTATGGGTAATCTTACAATATTTTCTTTTTTTTTTTGTTAAATAAAAGATATAAAGTGAATTAATACACTAGACACATGGTTTATTTGAACATTTTATTATGACATTGTAAAATGGTGAATAAAAACACTATTCACATGGTTTTATTTGTAGGCCTAGGTAACATCGTTTGTTCGTAACATACGTTTATTGAGTCTTACGTACGTATTAAGTCAAAGGTCACCACAAATTTACCCTAACCTTGATTTTATGTACCTATGTAAAATTGAGTTTCTACTGTAATAACATTTATGATAATATCAATAATAATAATAATAATTCTGCATTTTGTAATATTTATATTAATGATACTATTAGATTATCATTATTGTAAATACTAAAATTACAGAATTATCATTATCATCATTAAAATATTTATAATAATGATAATATTGATTAATAATGATAATAATTATTCAGATAGTATGTATTCTGTTTAGTATTGTTAAAGTCATTAATCATACAATATATGTTAATCCTGTTTGCCTTCATTGTGCATGTAGAGTAGACAGCACACAAACTAGCTATTTTTAGATGAATTCTGCTCAAAGGATTCACTTTCATCTTTAGAATTAAACACTATCGGAGGTATCAATTACGGCTATAATGTTAGTCCGCGACCAGTGCTTGATAACAAAGCGATCATCGCGTACAGGGAACGAAGGCGGAAGAAAAGGTTGAAGCTAGGTGAAACTGAAGGTATGGAGTTTTAAAAAATGATAAAAATAATTTTTATGGAAGATGTTTACCTAGATGCTACTGCAGCCAATCCTTCTAATGCTGTGCTTTTGTATTAGGATGGGGGTCATTCATAAGCAGGGGTTTAGCCAGAAAAACGAAATAGGCTATCCAAAATGGAAGCCAGTGGGTGTTCCACAGAGCCGATGGGTGGGACACGCCCATCTTTAGGAATCCCCACCGAATATTGGTACGAAAACAACGTTCATTCAATCAATAAATGTTGTTTTTATTAAACTTAAATATGATTTAGCTTTAGTTTAATGTAACATTCGATAGATTTGAAGAATATAAAGAATTTGCTAAAGGTAGGCCAGGCCCAATTAGGCTAGGCCGAATTGATTAGGCCAAGCCGTCACGGTAAAAGTGGCCGTCCTAAATAATTGCAGCTGTCTCGCCTGCTAAGCCTATGTTCATAAGTAAAAAATACACAAATGCCTTTGGGTTTGCCTATTTAGCATTAGTAAATTTAGAAAAGGGAGTAAAACACTTATAGCTCAGTTAGTAGAGCATCCAAATGGTAATCAAGGGGTCTTAATAATAATAATAATAATAATAATAATATTAAGAATAATAATAGTTCAATCTTGATTAAACGCATTTGCTGAAAGCCTTAATGCGCTTTACATTAGAAATATAAATCCAGAGTTCAGCAAAACATAAATTAAAAAGATTTGTTTTTTGAGTAGTTGTTTGAATGTGTCGATGTTGGTTGCCTGTCAAATTGCTTGTCTTGGGCTTAAATCCTGATCGGAACAATACATTTTTCTCAAAATATTTACATTTTTCTTTCTTTTAATCTTGTCTTCTGTTTATATTTATATTGTTTATGTTTATGAATCTCTTTAATCATATATTATTTTCTGTGTTGCATGTTGATAAGTAAGCTATGAATGATGGTGGTGGTGATGATGAGAGTGTTGAGTATGATGGTAATTAAATTATATTCTATTTAAAAATTTGATTAATCAAACCCTTTTGTGCTGAATTTTTGTTGATGGGAGTTCATGTCCTTTCCTGTTGGTGCTTATCCCAAGGTACTGGGTTCAAATCCAGCATATTCTTATGACTAATAGTAATACCACCCAGGCCCCTTCCCCACCACTTATAAAAAGATAACTTTAGACTTGTATTTCCTCTTGAATTTTGAAGATGACAAAGCTACGTCAGGTAATAATGAAGGCACCAATGAAGATGCTAGCAAAGGGCCTCTAACATTAAAACCTAACGATAGTTTCAAACCACCAACCAGTGAAGAGAACATATCAAGTCAACCAATCACTGAAAGCCTCAAGTCTAATCAACCAGTCACAGACAGCCTTGAGGTTCGTCAGACAATCACAGAAGACCAACAGACTAATGAAGAGTCCATATCAACTGATCAACCTGTAAAGGTTGAAACACCTGATGAAGCAATGGACGTACCTGCTCCAGAGAGTTCAATAGAAATTAAAGATGTCATGTCAATGGCTGTTGATAGTGAAGCATCGTCATCAGATAGTGAGGATGAAAAAGAAAGTATGGAATCCTGCGATGCCTCAAAAACAAGTAAGTTACCTATTCACATTACAATTTCAACGCTTTAAATACATATAATATACATTTACATAGTAATCTACATTGTTCATCTTGATATGTGTTGAAAAACTACAACATTATGTTAATAAAATGTTCTTTAAGATAATTACAGTTAAACTTGCCTAAGTTGAATCCAACATGCCATTGAAAAATTGTTTCACTTAGATAAAACTTGACTTACAGATTGTTAATTACAGTAATGGAAAACCCAACAATTTGGCATGTAAAGCAAGTTCGACTTTGAAATTATTTGAGTTAGGCGAAGTCTACTTAGGCAAATTTAACCGTATAACTGATGTAATACATTTTGTAGAGTAGTGAATATAGTCCAAATCCTAGTA